GGCGGGGGAGAAGGGGCTGTGAGGCGGAATCCCAAGCGAGAAGCGAAAAGCAGGGCCCCCGGAGTCGCACGCGGAGTCGCACGCACTTTGCGCGCAGAGGACTGAATGTTGACTCTGATGCTGGATTACCCTAGCCGGAAGAAACAAAGCCTCCGGCGGCGCTGAGCCTCAGTCCGGACTGCTCTGAACCCCAGTCCTGGACCAGACCCTGGGGACCCAGGCTCGGGCAGGGGGAGACGGGGCTGTGAGGCGGAATCCCAGGGGAGTGGCGAAAAGCAGAGCCCCCAGAGTCACACGCACTGCGCGCAGAGGACACTCTGTTGACTCTGATCCTAGACTCCCCTAGCGGGAAGGAGAAAAAAAAAGCTCCAGACTGGAGGAATGCGACAGGGAGCAGGAGCCCCTGCCGGACTGCCGGACACCAGCCAGCCGGCGCCTGCAGGGAGCCGGGCAACAGGGCCCCCGGGGGGGGGGGGGGGGGTGCTCCGAGCCATCGACCTCTGAGCACGGGCAACAGAGCCAAGGCCGGGGGCTGCTTCCTGGGTGGCGCCGACCCCGGCAACAGGCTTGAGCAGCGCGGGAGCCCGCGGAGAACAAAGGGGTGCCACAGGCCAACCTGCTGAGCTCCCAGGACAAGGAGGAAGAAACTGAAGTTCTCAATGTGAAGAAATCAAGTGAGAGCAAAAGATAGTAAAATTACTTAAGAAAGAATACAAAGAAGATCTTGAAAAATCAAAGGCTACCGTATTTTTCGGACCATAAGACGCACTGGACCATAAGACGCACCAGTTCTTAGAGAAGGGAAATGAAGAAAAAAAGATTCTGAAACAAATAGTGTCCTAAAATATTTTATGTGCATTAAAACCCAACATCACAGTCATAAACACATGTAATCAACCCTGTAAAGTAAACAGCAGCATTTAGAACCATTTTAGAGCCGGGCAAGCACACAGAGACCACACAGAGCCGGGCAAGTAAAAAAACTTTTTTTTTAAAGTATATGTGTAGGCTATATTTGGACCATAAGACGCAGGGACTTTTTCCCCCCACTTCTGGGGGGAAAAAAGTGCGTCTTATGGTCCGAAAAATACGGTAAGTCAGAACTCAACTCACCAGCCAACATTGCAACATAAATGCGTTTTTTTAAAAAAAAAGGACAGAATGTTGGAACAGCAGCGGCCAGGCCTAGAGGGCCCAGGCACAAAGCAATGGCAACCGGGCCCGGAGCAGCAATGGCCAGGCCCCAGAGAAGCAGCAGCCAGAACCAGAGCAACAACAGCCAGCACTGGAGCAGCCAGACCTGGGGCAGTGGCAGCCAGGCCTGAGGCGGAGGCAGCCAAGCCCAGGGTGGCCAGTCCAGGAATACCCAGACCCGGAGTGGCCAGACCCGGAGAAGCCGGGCCCAGAGCAGCCAGGTTGGGAGCAGCCAGGTCCAGAACAGCAGTAGCCAAGCCCGGAGCATCCAGGCTGGGAGTGGCCAGACTCGGAACGGCCGGGCCCGGGGCAGCCGGGCCCAGAGCAGCCGGGTCTGATGCAGCCAGGCCCGGAGCAGCGGCTGCCAGGCTGGGAGCTGCCAGGCCCGGAGCAGCCGGGTCTGATGCGACCAGGCCCGGAGCAGCAGCTGCCAGGCTGGGAGCGGCCAGACCCGGAGCAGCCAGGTCTGGTGCGGCCAGGCCCAAAGCAGCGGTTGCCAGGCTGGGAACGGCCAGGCCCGGAGCAGCAGCTGCCAGGCTGGGAGCGGCCAGGCGCGGAGAAGCCGGGCCCAGAGCAGCCGGGCCCAGAGCAGCCGGGTCGGGTGTGGCCAGGCCCGGAGCAGCAGCAGCCAGGTCCAGAGCAACTAGGTCAGGAGCGGCGGTGACCAGACCCGGAGCAGCTGGTTGTGGAACGAACCAGAGCAACAGAGGCCAGGCCCGAAGCAGCCAGGCCCGGAACAGCTCGCTTCTCTCCTGCCCCTGCCCCACGGCTGCCTCTCAGACATGGCTGGAAACTTTTGTGGGTACATGAGGGTCTGCTGAATCAAGTGATGAAGGCTTAGATCTGAATGTGTTGAGTTAGTATAGGGCTGGGGTGTTGATCTGTGAGTGCCTTGGGTGGGGCCTGGATGAGGCTGGTTGACCTATTTGGAAATGTCTTTTGTGAGAAATGTATCATTTGGGCATGTGGTGGTATTATTGATATGAGAAAATGCTAAGTAACTGATTTACTATCTGAAAAGGGATTTACTATCGGGGAAAGGGAGGGAGGAAGAGACTGAACATAAACTGCACCTATAAATGAGGACAATGGGGATGGGGAGGGGGCGGAGGGTGGGGTGGGAACCTGGTGGAGGGGGGAAGAAATGAGGAACCTTTGTAACAATATGAACAATAAAGATTGATTTTAAATAAATAAATAAATAAATAAATAAATAAATAAATAAATAAATCTTAAAAGCAGCTTGCCTGGCCAGAAACATTATATACATGTTACACCGCGGGAGAAAGCACATGCCATTCAGCCCACCCCTATGAAAGGCAGGAACTTTGGAAGCCTGCACCTGGCCTCCTCCAGATTCTGCTTAATTCTGACTTTTTCCCTTGCTGGTATATCTTTTCTAATAAACCATAGTCAGGATATAACTGTGAACTGGTCTAGTGAGTCTTCAAATGTGAGGCTGGCTGTAGAACTCTTGGAACAGGTGTTAAAGGCAAAATGAAATAAAGGAATCATAATGAGAAGCATTTTAGGGAGCCCTATAAAAAGTTTCTCTCATTTTTTCCTCAATCAAATTTACTTTCAGACCACAGTAAAATATATCCAGACTTTATGCAGAATACTTTCAGTGTGAGAAAGAACAGACTAAAAAGATTTAGAAAACACCAGGCTAAAGAACTGGGGAGAGAGAACAGGGGGAATAAGGTAAGCTGGCTGTCAATGATAACTAAAATTATTGTTTAAATTATTAAAAACTAGAGGCCCGGTGCACAAAATTCGTGCATGGGAGGGTGTGTCCCTCAGCCCACAACTGCCCGCTTAGGCCCAATCCCAGTACAGGCAGTCAGACATCCCTGTCACAAACACTCGCCTGCCTGCCTGCTTGGTTACCCCTAACCGCTTCTGCCTGCCAATCTGATCACCCCTAGTGACCTGACAGCCTGATCAACGCCTAACTGCTCCCCTGCCAGCCTGATTGCCCTTAAATTGCCATCCCCTGCCAGTTTGGTCACCCCTAACTGCCCTCCCCTGCTGGCCCAATCAACCCTAACTGCCCTCCCTTGCCAGCCTGTTTGCCCACAGGATTCTAAGAAATAAACATCACATATTGCTTTAACAATTTCTGAAGAGTTATAATATATTTTTTTTAAAATATATTTTATTGATTTTTCACAGAGAGGAAGAGAGAGGGATAGAGAGTTAGAAACATCGATGAGAGAGAATCATCCATCAGCTGCCTCTTGCACAACCCCTACTGGTGATGTGCCCGCAACCAAGGTACATGCCCTTGACCAGAATCGAACCCGGGACCTTTCAATCCGCAGGCCGACGCTCTATCCACTGAGCCAAACTGGTCCCGGCAAGAGTTATAATATATTAAAACACAATTAACCTAAAATTAAACTGCTTATAATTTAACATCACAATTGTTTTTAGAAACTTCTCCAGATTTATGAAGGTCCTCAGAGTTATCCTTGTGAACAGATTCTCAGTAACATAAGAAGTAAACAATACTTTGATAACAAAATTAAGCATGGAAATGATCCAGAAAGACTGCAATAATGGACTAAAACCAACGAGACAAAACTACACATAAGTAATTGAGGATATATATATATATATATATACACACACACACACACACACACACACACACACACCATTGAGGATATATATATATATATATATATATATATATACACACACACCATTGTGGTTGGTTTCTTTTTAACTATAGTTAAAAAGAAACCAACCACAACGGTATAAGAGGATAAAATAATCTAGTTTAACAATATGAAAAACCTTGAGTTTTGGCTGACCACAGTACAAAAAAACGTTAATGTAATCTCAAACATCAAAAATGCAATTAACTAACAAATATTTACTGAGAACCTAAACTGCACCATAAATTTTACTAAGAGAATACAGTGATGGCATACCAAGAAGGAAAAATCTCACCATATTTAAAACTAGTCAAACTATATGTGGAATATTAAGTCCATATAAAGAAATAGTTGAAAATGAGAGAAATGGGACCTACAAAAGGAAGACTTTTTTTTTTTTTTGAATGCTGACCTAAAAGAAAGCTCTTAAAACAAAAGTATTTCACCATACCAAGATAAATTAATGACTGTATATGACTGGCATTGTGTTAGATACTGAGATGTAAGTGGAGAACAAATTAAAAATTGTCCCTATACTCAACCTATTGATAGTCTACTGAATACCCTATCACTGGGAGACCTTTAGCAGACACCAAATAATAATCTAACAAGCATATTATGAAAGAGATTCATGTACTTTGTTAAAACTGAAATAAATGACCTCCAATATTGATCCCCTATCTAAAAGGTTATTACTTATTGTATCATACCATAAAAGAATACAATTGCTATTTTAAGATAAATAACTACCTAATGAGTCAAATAACAGGCAAACCAATAAATACACACCCACACACCCACACCCACACCCACCCCCACTGGGGGGGGGCGGGGGGAAAGGTGTGGCAGGGTTATATTTCCCCCTAATAAAACAAATAATTCATTCACATGTTCAGCTTTCAGAGGCAAACTATTCAAAAGCCAACTTCAATCCACATTAAGAAAATCCAAACTCAAATATTTATCTCATTTCAAATAAAAAAATATTTTCCAGAACTGTGTCAGAATACATGTATATTGTTTTAAGCCCCACCCAACATTTTTAATCTCTTTATCCTAATGATTATCTTACCGTAGTTAAAATAATTCCAAAGAAATTAATACCTATGATTTCTTTGGGATTTCTTATATTAATCAATATACCTTTCCATGGCTTTAGCTGTATAAGGCAAATGCATTTCAATACTGTGTTCATCTTCATCTGTCTGCAGAGACATGCGTTCAAACATTCCTGTCTTCCATAGTTCTCCGTAAACTAAAGAGATATCAAAATATAGTAAAACAAATACATTAATGTATATCCTTATCCTGTGAGACTCCACCCAGTAATACAAAACTACATGCTTTGGCAAGAGATAAAAGCACCACATAATAATCTTCATTTTTCGCCCCCTCTATTTTTGTTTTTAAAAAAGAAGAGGCTTGCTTTTTACATATCAGACAAAACAATAATATAGTAATAACTTACTCAGCATTTCTATGATACATAGTTATATAAGTAATTATTTAAATTTTCATCAGTTCCTTTCATTATAACAAAAATCACCTCCAGGTAAAAGCCTTTCCTCAACTTTAATCAGTACATGCTAATAAGAGCATAACTGATTAGAACTCCTACCGAAATACGGAAAAATCACTGGTCTACTTACTTACAAAGTTAAAAATATAGTTTTTGTGCTTTGCCTTGTTTTTTAATAAAATGTATAGGATTATTATTTCACACCTCAGGTTCTGGCCATAGTTAAGAACAGAAAATTCCCACAAAAAATGCTATTTTCCTCAAAATTAAAAATAAAGCTTATGGCATAAATCAGAACATAAATTTACCACAGTATCATCCCATAAATAATATTAAAATGATCTAGTAATTCAGAACTTTCTGATGAATTATATTTAACACTGAATATTTTATAGCAAGAAACGAAATTTAATTAATATGTAAAAAATAATATGAGTGTTTTTGTCTTATCATAGAACTGAACCAACTTTTTTTTTTTTTATTATTGATTTCAGAGAGGAAGGGGGGAGGGAGGGAGCAGGAGAGAAAGAGGGAGACATCAATAATGAGAGAGAATCATTGATTGGCTGCCTCCTGCATGCTTCCTACTGGGGACTGAGCCCACAGTCTGGGCATGTGTGCTTGTCCAGAATCGAAACAGGGACCCTTCAGTCCATAGGCTGATGCACTACCCAGCTAGGGCCTGAACTAACATTTTTATAACTACATCAGAAAAAAAGGGTTTACCAATATCAAAATATATCTGATTAAAAATATTCCATTCCTTCTTTGGCAGGCTATCCAAAACCAAAATTTTCTGAATGCCACAACAAAGTTTTAAAAATAAAGTATGTCCCCTAAAAACCTTGGGAGTATGGCTAGCAATATTTCAGCTTTATTAATAAGATATATTTTAACAAATTGCTAATACTCCAGGACACTTAAAATCCCAAATTATAGAAATTTAGGACTAAATACCTGGGGGAAAAAGAGGTGATCATTTTCCTTTGTGAATGGTTTCTTTCCCTCTACATTCGTATATTTTGTAAAATTTCTTGAAATAAGCACTCAACATACTTAAAATATAATTTGATGAACTGTAAAGATACATATCAAGTCCATAAAGGTAGTTACTAGTGGAAATATAAACTGAGTTCAGATGAGGGGGAAATTCTGAGTAAATTTTGAATGATGAGTATTTGTAACACTATTTTCTATACTATTGTGTATTTTTTAAATTATGCTCTCCCACCTTCCAAAACTACTATTCAAAGTCAGTAAGTTTTACTTTATACATCCTATACTTAAAATAATGCCCAAGTAAATTAAAAGCTGTTTAAAAGCTTTATGATTTCTATATACTTACTCTTTTGGTCAATACGAAGGTCATACAGAGGTGTTCTGTAAATATCCACACTGGAAAGTGCACATCGAGAGAGGGGCACATGATGAGAAGGCCCAAGGATGAAAATTCTCCGGCTAGGAGATACATAACAAAAATCACAGATCAATTGCATTTCTACACAAACCTTATAAAATAAAAGGGTAAAAAATGAATAAATTTTTTAAATTACATGTAGTACTGTTTGCGTTAATTGGTTTCATTGCCTACTCTTAGGCACTAAATTGTGTTTCCCTAAAATTCGTGTGTTGAAATCTCACCCTCAAGTACCTCAGCATGTAGCTGTATTTGAAAATAAGGTATTTAAGGGGTTATTAAGTTAAAATAAAGCCATTAGGGGGAGGCTTGACTCAAGAATGACTGGTGTCCTTATAAGAAGAGGAAGAGACAGCAGGGCGACACAGGCAGAGAGGTGACCACATGGAGAGCTGTCAAGAGGGCACCCATCTGCAAGCCAAGGAGAAGGCCTCAGGAGAACCACCCTGCCAGGACCTCGATCTCAAACTTCCAGCCTCCAGAACTTGGGTGAATAAACAACTGTGGTTTCAGCTGCCTAGTTTGTGTATGTTGTTATGGCAGCCCTAGCAAACTGATATACCTACGAATGATCTGCTCCTCCGTTAATTAAGCTCATTTCTTTGTCTTTTTGTTGGAAGGCCTTTATTTATTTATTTTTGTTGTTATTGTTGAAAGGCCTTCAACACCTGGAAATACCAGTTACTAATTTTCCACAGTAAACCAACCTGTTATGCTTAAAATCACCTCTGTATTCACAAAGGCTAGAAAGTTTTCAATCAGTAACTGAATTTTAAACATTTCAACTATTAACTAAAATCTCAAAATTCTAACACATTCTAAATTTGCCTTCTAAGGTCTACCACAGTTTTATTAAAAATACATAATAGTATAGATTCTAAAAACTCATGAAAAATATCATTACAAAGAAGCATTTTGATGAAGCTATTTTCACGACTTCCATGGGAGAGAGAAAAAGGACATCTTGTTGAGAATTCTGCATAATGAGCTTTCTCTGTTTCCATTTCAGTAGAAGTCATTCTCGAAAACAAAGAAACTTGATTATGTGTTATTTGCACTGTAGGCTAAAGAAAAGAAATGTGCTAAAATGTAACTAAGTCTTTACAATCCTTTTATCTTGACATCAGGAGTAAAATTAACTTCCTTACATTTTATTTCCAACATCCCTACAATCTAAATTCCAAAACTATCCTTTTTCTCTTTTCTCCTAGAATCATAAGAACAAAACTTATAAAAACACCCCACATTCACACGCAAACTTAGAGACAAAAAAAAAAAAAAAAAAAAAAAAAATTCTGAGAAAGAAGGGAATATATAATTGCCTAAATACCTAGAAAATTAAGGACTACTCATTGCTCAATTAATAGACAATGAATGACATAGAAGCTTGTTATTTCATGTCAAAAACTTGCAGGCCAAAGAATGCCCCCACTGATAATGCTTCTTGTCATCACCATTACGATCAACTCATTAACCATTTCAGAAAAAAAAAAAAAGATCAAATCTATTAATTCCTAATTGAAGAAAAGAAATACCACTATGTTCTTCTATCTTAACAGCACATAAATATCACCATGATTTTCTTAACAGCTAATGTTCAACATAGACAATGATAACTGAATATTTCAGTGACTTACCTAAAGACAGTATTTATATGAACAAGAATCAAATATGAAAAAAGGGCATTTTTAAGTTTGAGGAATACATTTCAATGAAAAGAGAGAGGAGAGGGACAGAATATTTAAAATCAGAACACTCCTGGGAAATCCAGGATAATTAAAATATGAAAAGACTTTCAAAATATCAATCTAAACTTAAGGTATAAATACATTTCATAAGTAAGTGTAATAAGGTTCTCACAGTGGCCAAAAGACCCAAGGTCAGCTGGGAAAGCCTAACTGCTCCTCTGAAACTGACTCCTCACCTTGTTTGCCTTTCTGTCAGACCCCCATCCGCTGAAAAGATTAAGACTGCTGGGGGAAGAACTGATTCCAGTCTGAATTAACCAACTGTGTACCCAACAGCTTCTTTCCTGTTTAGCAGAAACTCACCCTAATGTGGAGTTCCACATTTGGTTAAGAGAGATTATAATAGGGAAAAAAGGAGGCTGAGGTTCCATCAACATAAAGCCCTTAAAAGTGATATATCCAGAAACAAACAAAAAGAGACTAGGTATCATTGAAGAAAAAAAAAGAATGCACAATAAACGGGTAGTAATTGCAAAATGGGTTTCTGTTAGCCATCTGCTAACAAAAAAGAATATTAATAGGGTAAGTAAAAAGATAATGCAATTTTTTTTTCTTGCTAGATTGCAAGATCCAGGAACAATGAGGCCATATAAATATTTTGGAGAGAAAGGAGTACTGCATTAATAGCAATGTGAAAAAGTGGGGGGTGAGGGGAATCGGTAAGTATTCTCTGAGAAATACATGTCGTTCACATACAGTACCTCCAGAGAACTGACTTTATGGAGTAACTTTCTATGAGTGCCATCTGTGCACGAAATATATGTTACCTGAGTGACTGCCCTCATAAATATTCATCTACTTATTCTAAATAATGTAACACAAGTAATTTTTGAAACGTGTTTCATGGCAAGTGCAGATATTTTAGCTAAAAAATAAAATGTCGTGTGACCCCAAATAAGATTCCTTTTTGTTCTTTTTCTGCCATGCAAGACTTTCTGAAAGATCTGAATCATGTTACTAAGTATGTCCTAAGTTTATTTGTAATTAAAGTTTTAGTAAAAGGAAAAGACTTTGTAACTATAAATATGAAAATAACTTAACTAAACGTATCATTTTTTAAATTTCTTTTAACAGTCAGCCAGAGTGCTATTTTTGAAACATAAATTGGATCCTATCACTCTCCTGTTTAAAAAAAAAAAAAAAGTCTTTCCATGGCCAGAGGATACTAGTAAAATATAAAATCCTTAAAATGGGTTCGTTCTAAAGTCTCACAGAAACTGGCCCCTTTCTGTATTACTCTTCCCTTTGATCACAATACTTTATGTACCCTGGTCTTCCTCAAGTTCCTTGATGACACAAACACCTAGCCTACTTCAAAGCCTTCACACATTGCTTTTGCTTGACTTAAAAAACATTTCCTCAGAGACACCTTCCCCTTGACCTAATCCATAGACCTTACCCACAACCTAAATCCAATCCCCCTGCATCACAGCAGTGCTCAAAGGGTGAACCTTTAAAATCAAAACCATTTTCATGATAATACAAGGAAGCTGTGTGCCTTCTTCACTGAGATGACATCTGCACTAAAAAGTGAGGCTGGCTAAACGGATGGCACAACAGAATTACAATCGAGGTAATGGAACCAAAATATACTAGGAGTCATATGTTCTTCACCCACACCAAGTTTTGTGGGGTTTTTCTTTATTTTTCTTTTCATTTTTTTATTAAGGTATTATACATGTACATATCTTACCACTGCTCACTCACCCCACTTCCATACATGCCCTTACCCCCGTGTTTTGCATCCATTGGTTATGCTTATACGCATGGATACAAGTCCGTCGGTTGATCTCGTATCTCCCCCAGATCTCCCTAACCTTCCCGCTGTAATTTGACATTCTGTTTGATGCTTTACTTCCTCTGTATCTATCTTTTTATTCATCAGTTTATAATGTTCTTTATTATCCATAAATGAGTAAAATCATGTATTTTTCTCTCACTGACTGGCTTATCGGGTCTAGTAATAATTAATGTCGTTTTTAACATTCGTTTAAAATCTTGCTTGGCGTTGACTTGTATTGACATAACCTTCAAACACGTGGTATCTACAGAACGTGTGAAGTGCAATTAACAAGTTTTGCTTGAAAAAGTTTGTGTTTGGTTTGGTTTTTGTTGCAAAACTAGGGCTAAGAAGATGGCGGATGAAGAGCATATTCGGCACTGCATGCTTTACGAGTTCCAATTAGGAAGAAAAGCAAGTGAGGCTGCAAAAAACATCTGTAGTGCTCTTGGTCAAGATGCAGTTAGCGCCAGAAAATGCCAGCGTTGGTTTGAGAAATTTCGCGAGGGAAATTTTTTGTTAGATGACAAGAGTGGTCGAGGCCGTGTGTCCAATTTTGATCAAGAAGCTCTTCAAGCTCTTTTGGTGCAAAATCCTCAAATTACCCAACAAGAGCTTGCGACAACTTTAAATTGTTCACAAAAAACAATTTCCAACCAATTGCGTGCACTTGGCAAAGTCCAAAAGTTTGGAAAATGGGTTCCTCATGAGTTGACACGACAACAACCATAATCAAAGAGTCACAATTTGCAGTTCGCTCCTCTCTCGTCAAAACCGTTTGCCGTTTTTGTAGCAAATTGTTACCGGAGATGAAAAATGGGTGCTGTATGTTAATTTGAAAAGGCGGCCTCAATGGTTGGACAAAAATGAGGCTCCGCAGCCCACGCCAAAACCTGACTTGCATGCGAAAAAAGTGATGTTATGTGTTTGGTGGAATTTTAAAGGAATTCTTCATTATGAATTTTTACCATCTAACCAAACCATTACAAGTGGTTTGGCCTTCCTTCTGCCTTCTTTCAAAAAGATTCTATTTAGGTCCATTGCCCATTTTTTTACTGGATCATTTATCTTCCTTTTATTAAGTTGTATAGTGCCCAATTGGAAAGGTTAGCCCAAGCTTTAAGAGAAAAAGAATCCGCGCTGATTAATCGGAAGGGCGTAATTCTTCACCACGATAACGCACGACCGCATACTGCAAGAATCACTGCTGAAAAACTGCGCCAGTTGGAATGGGAAGTTCTCCCTCAACCTGCATATTCTCCTGATATTGCCCCTTCCGATTACCATTTGTTTCGTTCTTTGCAAAACTTTCTTCTTGGAAAAAAATTTAATAATGAAGAATGCCTCAAAAATGCATTGACCGAATTTTTTGCATCAAAATCACAAGAATTTTACAACAGAGGGATTAAAATGCTTCCTGAGCGTTGGGCACAAGTAGTAGAAAACAACGGCAACTATACTGTTGATTAAATTTTGTTGTATTGTTTAAATAAATTCGATTTTAAAAAGTATT